AAAGAATTAATGGCGGCCGACAGTCGTAAACAATAATAAACCTCTAGCATAAAGCAGGTACTGCGCGCGCACCTTACCACATGTCTTTAGCCAATAGGAGGCTGAGTTCTCAAAATATTTACAGTAGAACAAAACAAACCAAGACAATGCACTGTCTATCCTTTCTGAGGTCGTTGACTTTGTCACACTGCCCGCCGATCGTCTTGCTACCGATCTCCACACTGTTCGCACTTCAACTCCCCATTTTCGACTATCTAGGCTTCCTTCCAGAATTGCTTACCTAAACGCTTGTTTTTTGTGCTTCCTTCTACCGACCGTTAATATTACTTTTTCATTATTATACAACACTCATGTAACAGGTGACATCGAAGTTGATAAGATAAGTACGGTTTTGCACAGTAACCCTAATAAATAATGAATAAGGTACCATTGTTATTGTGAATTACAATACAAAAGAATTCTCATAATACACAGTTAATATAGAATAATTTCAAAATAAGACCTTTTCCACCCATATTATCTATTATCTCTTTTTTATACATTTTCTTTTCTTTTTTATTAATAAACGATGTAATTTGACTTGGTTCTTTTATTTTCCTTTTAAATACACTTGAAAAATATAAAAACTACTAACAAATTGTATCCCGCGCGTTTTTAAGTCAGTTCACTTCACAGCAGAGCGCGGGCGCCATCTGTTCCCTTACAGCGGACGTATAAAGTATTACATACTCAAATTTTGCAGTTACTCGTCTCTGGGTTGTGGGTCGTTTCTGATTCCGGATATGAGTATTTAATCTATGCTTTCTAACGATGGATGTAAGGAGTCGAAGAAGAATCTCAAAACAAACCTAGCTTATTATCTAATATACAGGGTGTGGCGTGTATAATCTATAAAAATTAAACTACAGTTCTAAACTAAAAAGTTCTATCTTCGCGTTTTTTTTTTGTAAATTAAAGTTCATTTATTCGACGAAAATGAAGGCCGACCCTGTGTTATTTATTAAAAACTTTTGGAAATGTTTTTATGGGGCCCGAGATGCAACCTTATAATTTAAGTCGGTTACATTATCAAAAAATTTGTGCAGTCAGCTGATTTTGTATTTGTATTGCATTCATTATTCACTTAATTATTAAATATTAAGCATCGTCCATCGACCCACCAGTGTTAAAAAGTGAAAGATTCTAGAAAAAAGTTTTTATTTTGTAATTTCGCGATAGTGACAGTGTTAATTTTTATAAAGAAGTAAAAAATAAGAATAGCGTGCCGATTACATTAAAAAACGAGATTCTTATTTCTCACTTTGCTTAATTTTTTAGTTTGTGCACAAACTAGTTTTACAACGAACCGAGAAAACAATGCATTTACTATTGGTATATATGGTGTTAGTATGGTGCAGCCGGAGATGCGCTCGCGGCGACCAGGTTGTACCGGGAACGATGGTCACAACTTCACCCACCGTGCAAATACAATCCTACAGTGCGTTCAGCGGCTGCGAGATACGGGAAGTGTTATTCCTCGAGGAGAAGGACGTGGTCAGCAAGTGAACCTTAATGTTCAAGATGCAGATGAAGATGGAAAATCTTTACGAAGATCCCACAATTAGTACTCGACGACTCGCACGGCAAGTAGGAACCTCATCTCGTACCGTACATCGTACCTTAAGGCGCCAGCTGTTGCACCCCTATCATCTGCAACCAGTTCAACGAATGCGTTTTTGCAAATGGTGCCAATCAAGTAGACTTTCCTGCTTATGTTTGTGCAACAGATGAGGCGACATTTACTCGTGATGAAGTGAATTTTCATGTGGGCCGATGAAAATCCTCATTCGGGAAACTCATTTTCGACATCGGTTCTCGGTAAATGTTTGGACTGGCATAATAGGCGATGTACTTGTGGGTCCCTATTTCTTTGAAGGATGACTTAAATGGACCAACATATGCTGACTTTTTGGAGAACCGGTTGCCTGAATTATTGGACGATGTGTCTTTACAAATTCGGGCACGTACGTTTTATCTTCAAGGTGGGGCTCTTCCACACAGTACTCGAGAAGTAACGACACTTTTGAATGAAATGTTTCCTCAGCGATGGATTGAACGCCTTGGTCCTGTGCCGTGGCCACCTCGGTCACCCGATCTAACTCCAATGAACTTTTATCTTTGGAGTCGCTTGAAGTCATTGGTTTACAATACTTCAGTTGCTACGGTGGAAGAATTGCGAAACCGTATACTTGAAGCTGCCGACACAATTAGGGCAATACCTGGAATTTGGGAAAATATTCGCCAAAATTGGTCCGTTGGTGCCATATCCGCGCTAATGGGGATCAATATCAACATTTTCTCTAGAAATGGTAAGTTTTAGTTCATTTTGGACCATATTTTAATGGAGTTCGTTTAGTGCACGCAGTTGGCAACAACAGATGCTACGGATGTGGTTTTGTTTGCGAACTCTTGCAGTAACAACAATGCATTTAAGATAGTGATTACCTACTATTAATTATTATAATAAAAACAATTTTTTTAAATATCTATTTTTCTTAGTTTGTACATTTGCGTTGAAAAATTTCCCAAAAATTGAGAAGTATCTTTCAACGAGTATTTGTTTACGCGGCTGGTCTACAGCACGTAACTCGTCGTACAGCACACGGACAGAACCATTCCAGAGAAAATATTTTGATCCATAATTGAACTTTAATTACGAAAAAAGAAAACCGCAAAAATAGAACTTTTTCGTATAAGACTTTTCTATTACAAATATCGTAAGGAAGCTGTAGTTTAATTTTTATAGATTATACACGCCACACCCTGTATATAATATATCTGATCATCAACAACCAGTAATTTTAAAAATTACGAAAAACAAATAGATAAAACAGTTGCTTCATGGATTTATTGACGGTTCAACATACATATATGGCTGATAAGATACATTGGTTGTAGATTACGTTAATCAAAGCTTTGTTTTTAACGCGAGTAATATATTTTTCGTTCCATTCTATAAATCTACAAATAAGTTTTCTTAATTTTTAATTTAGAACACAATATCACATAGTGAAAATGGATTTGTGTGGTGATGACGAGATAAATTTTAAATTTAGGGTAAATAAACCATTAAATCGTGCCGGACTGGCTTCTAAAGTATTTCTAAAACAATTTTAGGATATCGATCAATGTAATACGTACCAGTTTCCATACGTGTATCGGGAATCCACAGGGCGGCGCTTCAAGGAGACCTGCGTAATGTCAAACGCTTTATAGAATCAGGAGCATCTGTAAACAAGACGGAAGTCCAATGCAACTTCTCTCCTCTACATTTGGCCGTTATAAAAAACGAGTGAGTAAAACACAGTTTCTGTCCTTAATGTCACATATACTTTTCCAGTTGGGAAATAATAGATTACTTGCTGGCTAGAGACGATATAGAACTGGACACCAGGTGCTCTAAAGGCAAAACGCCCCTTAATATGGCTGCGGAATTGGACTACATCGAGTCAATGGTCAAACTAATCCAAGCTGGGTGCGATGTGAACATCTCCGACTGGCAAGGCAACTCTCCTTTGCACTTGTCAGCGTACTCCCCGGACACCTGCCACCTCCTCATACGACACGGTGCTCGAATTGACGCCGTTAACACCTGGGGCTACACGCCGATGCACGAAGCGGTGCAACAAGAATGCACGGAAGTAGTGCACATGTTGCTGTATTATAACGCCGACGCCAACGTTCCCGACAATTACGGCCTTACCCCTTTCATGATGGCCATAATGTGTCGGAATATCAGCGCTCAGGAGGCTCTGTTGGAGTACGTGGACGACTTTAATAGAACTAATCGCAATTCTATAAATTTCGCTTCGACTTTAAGCCTAGCGTTGCACATCAACTCGCCGTTTATTAAAGATATGGTGGAGCGAGGGGCCGATGTAAATTACGGTGATGAATCGGATTGCAGCGATGCGATATCTGCGTTTTCGGCGTGTTTACTCAACCCTGTGGACGTGTGCACCTTCAAATTGGTGTGGGAGAGGCTCCGTTTCAATCACGCCAAAAATACGATCGAGCTGCTCGGTCTTTTGAACTATAGGGAATTGGTGCCGACGTTTCTCCAAGTTATAATCGAGAGCGATAACTTCGAAGTTGCCGTTGAATTTTTCTCCAAAGGCGAAAATTATTTATCGTTTGTCAATAGATTTTCTGAGTGGGAATTTGAACTTGAGCAACTAACCGTTCTTACGTGTCGTTTGTTGCAGTACGGGTACCGCGCGACCAGCTACGACATTTACATGATTTTCTACCGCTACGGGTACTGCGAACTGTTCAGAATGCTGCTGTATATGGATGTCGACTGTACCCGAGGATGGCCACCTTGTATGGCCCTTCCGAGATTAATATTTGATATCGACTACGCTGTCGACGAAATAAACGATATTCCCAGGGAGAACATCGCGCAGTTGTTGGAATATTCTACCTGTGCCCACTTAATTAATACGCTAACCGTTAAATATAGCGACGACGAAGATATGCGTGCTATTTTGGGAAGACTGCCGAGAGTTCCTTCGTTGATCGAATTGGCTCGGAACGCGGTTAGAAAACACATCCGTCGATCGTTGAATAATGCCAACACCTGCCAGTTTTACACCGCTGTGAACTATTTGAACGTACCATCTACTTGTAAAAATATTTTGACTTTCCAAAGAAAAATATACAGATTTAAACCGTCGAGGTCGTTTCATTGAAAAACTTTGTACGATTAGTATAAAAACGTGAAAGTCAGTCGGTCAAATCCAACGAATTGTAACCACTAGAAGGAGCTTTGGATGTATTTGTTTGCGAATGTACATAAATAAATCAGATCTTCAGAAGACACAAATTTCTATTGGTCGATTTAATATTCCCGCCTACGTCCGCATTTCGATGATTGTCGATGACATCTGTCAAAGGAAAAGTGTGTAGCCGCTATTAACGTATTTGAGTTTATTTGTGTTTAGTGTAGTGTTATTTTCATCTTATTGTTGTGTAGTTTTTATGTATGGACATTTATTTGGTGCTAAGACATGGTTAGAAAGTGTGTTATTTGTTTAAAAATTGCGAGCAGTGGTCTTTTTTGACAGGTAAGTAAACAAGCAACATGGACAGCGTTTGAGGAATTACATAAGGGCGTTTTACATTTACTACTTAATTAGCAGTGATAAAATACTGACTAAATCATTATCTATATTATTAAGAAGATATATTTTTTAATTGTTCAACATATTTTTTCTTGTTTCAGTCATATTATAAGTATATTATGAGTAATACCTGTATTTCTTAGATTTCCTAAGAATATGGAACGGAGAAACTTGTGGAAGCTTTCCCTAGGTGATGTCAATATTACCGACAACATTTTTGTTTGTTCTGATAATTTTGCGATGAATGATTTTCTGACAAAGCCATCAGGTATAAAGTACTTCGAGAGACAACTATTCCAATAATAGCTTCTACTTATATTGATTAAAATATACAAGTAAAAAGCCTTTATAGTTACCTAGTACCTCTTTACCTTTATATTTAATTTTTATAGATCAGACAGTTCTAATAAGGAAAATATTTCTCTAAATGATGTTTCTACGGAACAGTCATTGCACTTGCCGCAACAAAAACCAGAAAGTATATCCACATGTTCATCGCCATCGACACTGCTGACTGCTCAATCAGGCTTGTTATCTACTGCAAATATGGCTACAGATCTTTCTGAAATATATTTGAAATTTGGTGACACATCACCAAAACATTGATCAGTTTTAACTGCATCAAAAATAGGAATGGATTAACCCAATCGTAATAAAATTATAAACGTGAAGTAAGTTATAAAAATATAATTAATAAATTATATATCCTTTGTATAGTATCTACAACTAAATTTATATATTATCATTTTATTTTATATAAACACTACCGCCGTAAGTGTTTATATAAAATACATCTGGAATAGATAATTCATCATTTTTAGGAAAAGGCCTTATCCGCGATATTTTGGAGAATGCCATATTTCTGACATGGATAGTCCAAAAAGATCAAGAAAAAATTGGAGTATTTGTAAGAAAAAAATAAAAATGCAAACAATAAAGACCCGAAGTCTGCAGCAGGCAAAGAGTCGTCAAAAAGCCAGAATTTGTAGCCTTAATTCTCTTCTGAAATTTTTGAAAAAGAAATATGACTTGATGTATAATTCTAATAAAAACTAGAAAAATAAACCAAAGAAATTATAGTATCATTATATACAAGTGTTGGATAAAAGCATTTAATTAATCAGTAATGATGTCAAAATAATTTGAGTATAGTATAAACGGTTTATTAATTTTACTTCAATTTTTACCGTCTCATATCACCAATATATAAAAATTACTTACAAAATGAGTAATCCTTTCAAATGTGTATTGGTATTTTGTAAATTTTAATATTTTGCCTTTTTTGACAGTACGCCACGGTCGTTGCGTCTCATTGTTTACATTTGACACTATCTATCTTTATTTATTAGGTAGTTCTCTGTTTAGATGTTTGCTACCACAGACCACCTAGACTGGCCGTATCTAATTCCAATGCACTGGAACTAGTGAATGCAAAATCCGGGGAAGTGGAGTGTGGAAGGCAATCTGATCGCGCGCATCTTTAAGCAGATCCGGATTAAGTAATATTTTTATTACATATTAAACATTATATTGCATCTTATGACAAATATTCAATTTTAAGTTTGTACAGAAAATAGTATATTTTAGTGTCATATTAAATAAAACTACAAAATAATTAAAATATATTTATTGTCCTCTAAATAATATTAATTTATTTAATATTTGCCTTTTCGTAGATTTTACCGAATTAAATAATTTGACTTCATGATTTATTCGTACATCGATATACTTTTCACATTCAGCCCTTACAAGTTCTATTAAATGATTACAATTGTTAGGCAAATTATCGAATTGATGTTAATGCAAATTTTCAAATATGTTCGCATTCAGAAAGTTTTTTAATACATGATAAACAATTTTATTTTTCTGTAGCCTAGGTGTTCTGCTTTCATCATTATTAAAAAAATTTATTAATTTTTCTGTTTCTTGGCATATTATTACGACATCTCGAGATGGATACCTCAAACAACCACGATCTTTAATAAAAATTAATTGACTATACGAACACTGTGTATTTGACATTAAACTATTTACACAGTCTTCACATTTTGGCTTTATTAGAGAACTTGTTATTATTACGAAACCGCCAATATACAGGGTGATTCAGTCATAATGTCATTAACTTTAACCACGTATTCGGAAGGCTTAATAAAGACAGAAAATCGGAAAAAAAAATTTTACTCGACTTTTAAAAATGAAGGAAATCAACCCATAACTCCCGCTACAAGGAAATTTTGTAACGTAATGTCACGAATCAGTTGTCAGCTGAAGCGAACAGCGTTGCCAAGTTCACTTCATAATGTGTGGTTCACATTTACTGTGGGTTCCACGTTCCGCGTTAAACGTATGCAAGTAAATAAAGGAGCATGCTGTATTTTATTATAAATAATTTTAACAATTGTATTAACTTAGTGCAGAATGTTTTAACAAGCCTGACTTCTCGAAGTCGACTTTCGTTAAAAGAAAATAAATAAAGCAGATGTAGTTACCTGTTTGTAGGCACACCGTATTTTATCAAATAAAAAAGTCGGCACACTACTAAATACTCGAATATACAAAATACACTACACACGGTTACAAAACCATTAACAATTTAAAGCGTTTATTCAAATCTACAACCTTCCACATCTTCCGCATTTTTTCCAACTGCATCTATCATACCATACCGCGCAGCGAAGGTGCAGAACATCGACAAAATGACTTAAATGTGATAGAAGCTGTTTTAAATTTAGTCGAGGAGCAGCCTACTATTTCCACAAGAACAATTTCAAGGCGACNATATTTTTAGCTTTACAGGGTGTTCCATTTCGCGTGGGCGCTACATAACTTCTGATATATACAGGGTGTTCCACCTAAGAATGATTCTTCTTTAATTCTGCAATTGTAAAATTTATACAGAAATGGTAAAGAAAATATTTTTAGCTTTACAGGGTGTTCCATTTCGCGTGGGCGCTACATAACTTCTGATATATACAGGGTGTTCCACCTAAGAATGATTCTTCTTTAATTCTGCAATTGTAAAATTTATACAGAAATGGTAAAGAAAATATTTTTAGCTTTACAGGGTGTTCCATTTCGCGTGGGCGCTACATAACTTCTGATATATACAGGGTGTTCCACCTAAGAATGATTCTTCTTTAATTCTGCAATTGTAAAATTTATACAGAAATGGTAAAGAAAATATTTTTAGCTTTACAGGGTGTTCCATTTCGCGTGGGCGCTACATAACTTCTGATATATACAGGGTGTTCCACCTAAGAATGATTCTTCTTTAATTCTGCAATTGTAAAATTTATACAGAAATGGTAAAGAAAATATTTTTAGCTTTACAGGGTGTTCCATTTCGCGTGGGCGCTACATAACTTCTGATATATACAGGGTGTTCCACCTAAGAATGATTCTTCTTTAATTCTGCAATTGTAAAATTTATACAGAAATGGTAAAGAAAATATTTTTAGCTTTACAGGGTGTTCCATTTCGCGTGGGCGCTACATAACTTCTGATATATACAGGGTGTTCCACCTAAGAATGATTCTTCTTTAATTCTGCAATTGTAAAATTTATACAGAAATGGTAAAGAAAATATTTTTAGCTTTACAGGGTGTTCCATTTCGCGTGGGCGCTACATAACTTCTGATATATACAGGGTGTTCCACCTAAGAATGATTCTTCTTTAATTCTGCAATTGTAAAATTTATACAGAAATGGTAAAGAAAATATTTTTAGCTTTACAGGGTGTTCCATTTCGCGTGGGCGCTACATAACTTCTGATATATACAGGGTGTTCCACCTAAGAATGATTCTTCTTTAATTCTGCAATTGTAAAATTTATACAGAAATGGTAAAGAAAATATTTTTAGCTTTACAGGGTGTTCCATTTCGCGTGGGCGCTACATAACTTCTGATATATACAGGGTGTTCCACCTAAGAATGATTCTTCTTTAATTCTGCAATTGTAAAATTTATACAGAAATGGTAAAGAAAATATTTTTAGCTTTACAGGGTGTTCCATTTCGCGTGGGCGCTACATAACTTCTGATATATACAGGGTGTTCCACCTAAGAATGATTCTTCTTTAATTCTGCAATTGTAAAATTTATACAGAAATGGTAAAGAAAATATTTTTAGCTTTACAGGGTGTTCCATTTCGCGTGGGCGCTACATAACTTCTGATATATACAGGGTGTTCCACCTAAGAATGATTCTTCTTTAATTCTGCAATTGTAAAATTTATACAGAAATGGTAAAGAAAATATTTTTAGCTTTACAGGGTGTTCCATTTCGCGTGGGCGCTACATAACTTCTGATATATACAGGGTGTTCCACCTAAGAATGATTCTTCTTTAATTCTGCAATTGTAAAATTTATACAGAAATGGTAAAGAAAATATTTTTAGCTTTACAGGGTGTTCCATTTCGCGTGGGCGCTACATAACTTTGTTATTTTAAATGGAACACCCTGTATATTATTACGTTTTTGAATTCCTTGGTTAATATTAGGTAGGGTTTATGAAATGTACATGGTGTTTAAAACTTACCGTGTTCGAGATAATCAGTTGTTTTTGAAAAAAATTATTACGAATAATTTCATCTGCTCCTGTATAATCCAGGCATTTTATTGTTACCATGGTAACGACTTAGAAGTTATAATTGGAATTTGTTTTTGAAATTTCTTTCTCTGATGACGAATAACTCCACAACGAAACCCGACAGGAAAAACAATACCTGAGAAGGATCTTTATGTACCAACTTGTGTGTCGTAAAATGTGTCTTATTCTTTGATTTGTATGTGCAACCATTACATTTATAAATGGGCAGTTGTAAAGTGTCCTTATTCGGTAATGCCGTGTGTTCGGGTTTATAGTCACATTCCACACAATCGTTTTGAGTTTTTGTGTTTTATATATTGACTATTAAAACTGATCTTCCGTTCTGTTTTAAAATCACAAAAGTCGCAATTGTACGATCGTCCATCAAAAGCACTTTTGTGCTTCACCTGACGCTTAGCAAGGTCACACCTGTGCTTTGTATTCATGTGCTTTGTCTGTGCTTTGTAATCTTATGATCCGCATCGGTGCATACGCATTTCCGAAGGATCTTTATGTCTCAGATGGTGCTTCTGAAAAAATTTTTTATTTTCAGTTTCATACTCACACGATTCACATTTATATGCTTCCGAATCGTTCTCGTGTCTCGCACGGTGTGCTATAAAACGGCTCTCGCTTCCAGTTTTGTAAATACCTCTATCGCATTTGTAAAATACTTTGTCGTCCTGCTTGACTTTCGTGTTACATTCGTTTGTCGATCTATTCTCATGTTTACATCCATCCTCTTCTGCATTTTTGACAGTCTTCATGAATGATTCACTAGCGGAGCTCTGCAGTAACGAGTCCCTGAAAAAATTACATATACAGGGTATTTTCCAATGTGAGGTGTTAACTCTAAGGTGTTATAGGTTATTCCAAATGCAATTATAAGTTTCTGAACTCCACAGGGCATTATTTCAATTTTATTATCATACAGGGTGTTAAAAAAGAGTGTAAAATATTTCAGGAGGTAATAGTATGAACCAAAATAAGCAGAAAAGTCTTAATAAACATGGTTCCGCAAAGTAACGGTTGCGGAGATATGGACCACTATTCGTTTTTCAAACATTTTATTTTATTAGGAATAAACCGACAAAGGAAGCTTTTAACAAACAAAATTTACAGAAGATGTTCAAAGTGCCCTCCGTCCATTTCCAAGCAGGCACGACATCTTCGTCTCAACGATATTCGAACTCTTTCGAAAACACCCTCCTTGGTTTGGATTTCTTGACACTTTTGATTAATCCGTAGCTGCAGCTCTTCCATGCTATTTACAGGAGTACCATACACTAATGTCTTCAAATATCCCCAAACAAAGAAATCTAGAGGGTTCAGATCAGGTGATCTTGAAGGCCATAAAACAGGTCCGGCCCTTCCTACCCATCTATGCGGAAAAGTTTGGTGTAAATGCTCTCTAACGGCCATGGAAAAATGAGCTGGAGCCCCATCATGCTGGAACCACATTTGTTGCCTCCGATTCAAAGGAATTTCTTCCAAAAACTCATACAGTGTGTTCTGCAGAAAGTTGAGGTAAGCAGCGCCTGTTAATCGGTTTGGTAAAACAACAGGACCTAGAAACCTGTCACCTACAATACCCATCCAAATGTTTAATGAAAAACGTGCCTGATGTCCAGATTCTATTAGAGCATGAGGATTTTCGTTGGCCCAAATATGCGTATTGTGAAAATTAAACACTCCATTTCTTGTGAACCCGGCCTCATCAGTAAAAAGAATGTTTGCAAGAAAACGAGGGTCTTTAGCATCATGAAATAGAAACCAGCGGCAAAAAACCAAACGTGCTTGATGATCATTTATTGGATTTAAGGCCTGTACTCGTTGCACAATGGTATGGATAAAGCAGTTGCTCTTGAAGGATTCTCTAAACAAGGAGTGCTTCTTCTGCTCTAGGAGTGGATACCGACCTTGGTCTTCCGGATAAATGGCACTGTTTGCTCAAGGAACCCGCCGCCATTATTCTATGGCTAGAAATTGGCCTCAATGATTTGGGATCGAGGGGGATTATCCCTCTTTATCCTGCCTCATCTCGTGTAGGCCTGGACAGGCTTCGTGGGCCCCATCCGTCGTCTACCCTGAGCTCAAGGAACCCAATCTTCAAAGAGCAATCTTTGGTGAATTCTTCCAAACATGCGTTGTGAAGGAATCTGGCCATTTGGATAAGCGTCAACATAAAGACGTCGCGCTTTGGTGGCATTCCCATTAGCACGACCATACATGAAATGCATGTCTGTTAATTCTGCGTTAGAGTAACCAGCCATAGCGAAAGAAAACTTGTGCACTGAGAACAACTGTCAAATACGTACTGTTTATTTCACTAAACATCAACCAACTATTATAAGAAAATACACAACGTTTTTGCAAAATAAAAAAAGGGGCTAAAAAACATAAACCATTCCATATCTCCGCAACCGTTACTTTGCGGACCCATGTTTTGTTGGGACTTTTCTGCTTATTTTGGTTCATACTATTACCTCCTTAAATATTTTACACTCTTTTTTAACACCCTGTATAAATCAAATTTTTTATGACAATGAGGTCATATTTCTATTACTATTACTTTAATTACTTTCTTTGAAATCCTCCCAATTTACCATATTAATGCCAGTCACCAATACGACAACTGGTATCACATAGCTAATATTTCAATTATAATAACACACGCATTGCTAATAACAAATAAAATTTAATCAGTTTAAATCGGTTTTCAAAAGCACATTGCTCAACACCATTTCGATTATGAGGCATTTATCAATGCCCGAAGCCCATTTCGTTATCAATGCCCGAGAATAATTCGATAAGAAAATTTTTTGATTATAACATTTTAAACAGTGAACTGAAATCAATCTTCGAGCTCGCGTCAGAGTTATCAAAAGGAATTCAGTTATTTAACAATGGATGTAACGTGTGATTAAAAACGCAAATGACTTTAGTCAATAAAATTGTCGAGCCATTTTCATTGTGAAATATTTACTTTTTATATAAACTTATTGACATTTTTCAGATTACAGACAGAAAACCAGTGGCGGCTCGTGAAGGAGGACTCTGGGGCTCTGCCCCCCCAGATATTTTCAAACTATAAACTTAAAATAATGTATTTATTTAAATCGATAAGAAATCTAAATAGCATGCATTCTATATCTCTTGGATGTTAGGTTGGTTGCATAAAGTGCATGTACTCCGGGAACGTAGCTCAGATTAATGCCATCTGCCATCTATGATCGTACCAAAGAGTTATGTTTAACCGCGCGCGCAATCCCCACTCCATCGCGGACCGTGAAATCTGAGTCCATCGTGCAAGCATATTTTTACATATGATTGGACAAATTGGCACGTGGAGGGGATAGGCGACGATAGGCTCGCGCGCTCGCGCGCTTTGTTTTGGGACTCCATGAGGCAGTAACCCGTATCACTGAAGTGTGGTTATATGTGTTTTGTTTTTGCTTTGGCGCTTTTTAAGACATTATATTTTATAAGTTTAAGTTTAAAATGAGGGTTTGTGAAATAAAAAAACTTGTTATTAGTAATTTAAGTTTAGAGGAAAAAGTCGAATTGAAAAATAACGGACGTCCAACGCCAGTGTTGAATTTAGTTCAGGTGCAGAAAGAGTGCAAAAGTAGGCCGGCTTTTATTCGCAAATTTGATAAAAACATTTATGATAAGACCCTGTGGTTGTGTGGTTGTGACCAAACAAATAGATTTTTTTGTTTTGTATGTTTATTGTTTGGAGGAGGCGAAGAAAACTGGACGAAAACTGGAGTTTCTGACTTGAAACATTTAGAAATTAAAATTAAGAAACATGAAAATTCTCCTAAACACAAAAATAAGTTGGTGAGTTTTTTACTTTTAGGAAGAGTAAATATTGCTTCTTGTTTAAATAGTGCTTATGCAGAACAAATAAATAGTAAATAGTCATAACGAAACAGTTAAGAAAAATCGATTGCTTCTTTCAAAAATTTTAAATATCTTAAAACTATGTGGTACATGTAACCTTTCTCTTCGTCGACATAATAAAAAAAGTGACTCGGTAAACAAAGGGGTATTTTTAGAACTGATAGACTATAGTGCAAAAATTGATCCCGTTTTAGATAAACATCTTGGTGATGCCCATGTTTTTAAAGGTACTTCAAAAACTATACAGAATGAACTATTGCAGTAATCTACATAATTATATCCTAACTGGGTTGGTTGATCGATTATCCACTTCAGCCGCCACACGTTGGAATTTTATTTCTCGCATTGTATCTAAGTAGCTACTGTACACACTGACAGTATTCATTTTGGGGTACTTGCAAAACACAATGACCTTCAAATTCCTTAAAATTTTTCGCCTGCGGCGCTAAGCGGGGAACTGCCGACCCCCACACCCCCCGCAGCTCTTATGATGTACGTCCTCTTTTCAGAATGCGCCCCTTTGCCTCTTGTTAAAGATGTTACACCTGACGAAAGCCCACGGACCGTCACTGTATCTGATTTAAAGCCATACGGATTTATTTATAATGATCCTACATTTTTTCCTAATAATTTGTTAACCTAACTCATGAAGACTGTTTACCAACGTAATCTTATAATTTGTTAGTTTATCGTGAGATGGTATACGTATTCACGAAGTATCAGAACCACAGAGTTATTTTTAAAATTAATGTTAAAATAGTATTCTCTTACCTGCTTTCCTCTTCTTCTGATTTGATGTCGATACTTTCTGCTTTGATGGACATTTCCATCTCGTTGATATCGAATCCTTCGTTCTCGATTTCAGTCTTAACGAATAAATCGGATGATGACGTGTCTATCTGACTTTCCCTTGCTGCGCTATTAAAAATACCTCCAATTGTTTCCTGTACTTCCAAGCAATTTTTTAGGAAACTGTTGTGGGTGCACACAGAATCAAAGTATTCTTTACACACAACGGGATCTTTGATGATATTTATATTCTGCAAAGTAGTTTCATTAAATTGCGAAAAATGTAACTATTTAATATCATTGATACCATTTCAGGAGCCAATTTCTCGATGGCTCCAAGTTCTTCTTCACCTATGCACCTAACTTCACTTTTTACTGGGTGCATACACAATCGACATATTTTCTGACTGCAAACTATCTCGCTTTTCTTTTCCTGCATGTACACTTCTCTTAAGTCGAGCTGTAACATTTTTTCGTTATCCACATAAGGAATAATTATGTTATCGGTATTCAGACAGGTCGACTTAAATTCTAACGCAGCATTTAACTTTCTTCTGCACACTTTACATATAACCTCTTTGCTCTCGTTATCAAATTTCTGAATAATATTCAAGTTTAAACGGAAAGAAAATAAGAGTAGTGGAAAATAACAATTAGATACTAAAAACTGCTCTCTATTTGAGACTGCTAGGATCTAATCTAATTAGATTTCACCGACTTACCAATTTCAGCAAAAGAACATCTAAAATGTCTGATAACGTTGTCTACCACTTCAAAACTTGTACCTATTATAGATTTAATGCAAAGTCTACACGAAGCTTCCTTAACACCACTCATTGCTCTAAAACAATCTTCTTTTGAGTATAAAAAGAATACAAACTCGACGTCACCCGTCACTTCTAACCACAAAACAGATTTCTAACCTAGTATCATTTATCTAGGTTCTAACCTAACCTTCTTGTCAGGGTGTCCAGATAAAATTTCTTGGTTGTAGCCACATACTAGGATAGAAGTATGTGGTTGTAGCCACAGACCACCTGTGGTTGTAGCCACAGACCACCTGTGGTTGTATCTTAATAGTTTTGATGCAGGCAACCAGAATTACAAAATTGTCTACAACCAATACAACGTTTTTACGGTTGCATGGTGGTATATGGTACTTACCTCAGACGTACTTACCATCGATCTTCGATGGTACTTACACTCTGTTAACAGTGTTAACCTCTATAATCTTTCGGTAACAAACTTGTATGTGTTACATACAACTTTGTTATTTTAAATATAACTTCTATAACCATGAAATTTTCTACTCCTGGTCACTCATGTAACCAAGAAATCAATTCTGCACATAATTGTATTGAAAGGGTATTAAACAAAACGGAGTATTATTCACCCTTATCTCTGTTACGAATTCTATTAAAAGTGAATGCTAAAAAACCGTATAAAATTATCCAATTAAAGGAAGATGATTTTAAAGATTATAAAGCACGTGCTTCTTTATATAATTACAAATCCGTTCCTTTTAGTCAGGTCGTTGCCTTAAAATTCACGCAATCTCAGTTTGAAGTAGAATATTAATCATGCACTAGAAAATTGGAAAACAGTTTGTATTCGTGATATTCGACCTACATGATCTGATGTTGCAAGAACCGGCAATAAAATGCAACTCCCATCGCGTTTATCTTTTAATAAATCCATTCCTGAAAATAAAATACAAGCTCTCAAAAGATGTTTAAAATTATACATCAATATTTCCAAAATAATTTTCCTCTGCTCTTAATTTCTATGAATAATGTGTTAACTTTTTCGAAAAATATCTGTTAGGATTACTCTAAATTATTATTTTACGTTTAAAAAAATTCAAAATTGTATGTAACAGGCAATTTTGACAATAAAGTTTTTTATTGAGATAACATAGTTGTATGTTCTTTTTTAATATCTGAATTTTAGCAAAAATACTTTTTTTTCCAAAGATTTGTACATGATTCTTAGTAACTTGTACTAAAATCTAGCTAATTTAATTGTATCAAAAATGTATCTTTAGCACTGCCGGAGTTGTAATAACCAAAATTTTGTTTTTCGTTTTTCTCAAAACTAGGTTCAGCGCACATACAACAATATAATTCTGAACACAGTATACTAAGCAATCAGTAGGGAAAGTTACGTTTCCCGCGTCTTCCATATTTCCACCATTTTGTTAGCGACTGACAGTTACTACGATTTCCGTTCTCATATTTTCATTCATAAATTTAGTATGTTTTCATTATTGTATATGTAACTAACCTCACTTAAACCTTATATCTCAGCTTTATGCATTAAAAACCTTATTTTATGATGTCGAGTAGCTGTTCAGTTTAGTTATCTTGTTCTTGTGTATTTTATTAGTGATTATTTATTTATAAGTAATACTATACCCAGTAAATAGTTAATAATGAAATAAAAATTATAGTAAATTTACATTTTAAAATATGTTTAGAAAATAAATACGCTTTCGTAAGTTTTTGAACAAAATTTATAAAATTCAGACCGATATAATCTAATCTAAATTATTTCTGCTGGAATTCAAATAACTAATTTAACCAAAAAATGTAAACTTCTCTTAATAAAAAAAAACCTCAATTTACGTGGAACACTACTACATAGCTAACAATCTCTTTATTACCTCGGATTATAATAATTAATCAGAAATTAATGCATAATAATTAAAAGTATTAAAACCCGGAAAAAGAACAGGTTATGTTTACTATACTACTAGACGTAGCATGCCATTGCGAAAAGTGTGGCTGAGAGACAAGACAGTATCTCAGATTTGCTGTCTCACTCTAGCACGCCGCGATTGGTTGGAGCATTCATTTCCAACCAATCGCGACGTGCTAAAGTGAGGCAGCATGTACTGAGGTACTGTCTGTTTCTCTCGCACACTCAGCCACAATTTTCGCAATGGCATGCCTCCAGTAGTATATGCTCGAAGGATCCGCCATATTCTTAGCGACTTTTCCTAGGGTGGAGATATTTAAAAATTGCCATACGGAATTCATTCATAAATCATTTAAGATTCCCTACTGATTGATTAGTATACTGTGATTCTGAGGTGACGATATGATAGACCAGACCATCATTTCATCTACAAAAAAGGTAATCTTTATTTCTTTGGATAAAGTGTTCAATTTCCAAGAAAAACGAACGGATTTAAGTACTTAGAAAAGCACACTTTGGAAAGTGTTATATTTTAAACCGATTTTTCTCGAAAACGGATAACTTTTTCGATATAAAACACCACCATTTTTAATAGAAAATAAAGTTCAAAATAGCAACATGTAAAAAGTTTTGGGCCAATTTTACTCCAGCTCCCCCCCCCCCTTCCTCCTGAATTTATGAGCGTTCACGATGTCAAAACTCATAATTTTCCTTCAACCCATTTAGGAAATATTTAAAAAAAAAATAATTTTTTTAGGCCCCTTTTAGGGGGGCGTAGCTCCCTTAGGAAGCACTTCTCGACTCATGTTTATATGAAAAAATATTCTCATTTTTGGCAATAGCATCAAGTGATAAATTATCGGACACTAATTATGAGACACCCTGTACACAGGAGGTTACAAATTCGCTTCACACTACAGGGATCTCTAAAACAATAACAGATACAAAGTAGCTTAAATGAGAACAAAGTTGCGTAATCAGGGGACCAACATTATACTTCTAAAAGATCAAGAGTAACATGATTTGGAATATTTGGAAAAAACCGAAATTTTTTAAATCCGTTTTTGTTTAATTTCACCCTAGAAATTTTATTGCATTTTTTGCAAGCCTTCATGAACCCCAATACTGTACTGTGTCAGCCCGAACCAAATTTAGACGTTTTTTATCTATCTATCTAAATTTTTTATTTAGATTTCTTTGTTTATTGAATTATCGTACACTGTAAGTGTTGTTGGACCCTGTGAAATCCATCTATAGTTATTTAAATTATTACCACCACGCGTTACAATAAAACATTTATTTATTAATCTATTACCATCACTTGGTCATACATAACTCGATAAGTTGTAGCGTCAAATTTAAAACATTTTTTATTTATTATTGTGCATAATTCTATTCTGAATTTAACGATGTAGGTAGGTATATAAAGTCTACTTTTGTGAAACACGTATTACAGAAAATATTAGTCAATACCACATTATTAGCGCCCGGTCGCATAATTAATTGACAATAAACATATTATTTTGACTAATCATGTATGCCTGGAAAACAAAAAATAATACAACAAAGCAAGTAAATGTCATTTTAGCATTTGTGTCCCAGTTTTTTACGCATTATACCTTTTCTGTGTCATTTACAGTATGTTATTTATTGAAATACATAAGCTCAACAATGCAAAATATGAGTTTAATAATCAATGACATGATTCGTGAAACGTTAATGTATTTAATTAAATTGTTTTTCTTTTAATTGATATTCATTGTATCGTTTCTTTTCTGTGAACTACAAAATTCCCTTTAGAGTTTTATTCGCTTTGCTGTATTATTTTTTTGTTTTCCATGGCACAGATGATTAGTTAAAATAAATTTGTCATGAATCAGTGGCCGGGCGATGAATGCTGTATCGACTAATATTTTGTCGTCTTTTGTGTAATAAATGCTTTACAAAAGTTCATATACATTGTTGGATTCAGAAAATAAAATTGCACAATAACAAATAACAAAAAAACTATGTTGCCGTTTGAAAAAAAAGTTGACATGACTTTTCAAAAAAAAAAAATAGTAAACGAGCTCTAATAGGCTCGCATTATAGTGTATTTAGAGCCATTTCATTGAATTTTTTGTCTTTTCAGATCAGACTATAAATAACGGAGTTATGGCTTGCGGCGTTTTTTAGGAGACAGCCTGTATATTCTTAATGGAGCATTATCCAGAAGGTTTTTAGGTAAATTGTTAATCACCCCGTATACCACATCCCGGATGTGTAACTGGCTCAACAAGGAATTTGGAATCATCTCGATCAGAAAAAAACTAGAAGCTACATATTTATACAACAATTCAATATAAAAATATTTGCAACAATAAGAAACGAATAACATACAAAATAAAATTTTTCATTGGAAGTGCACTTCACTGTTCGACCTCGTATATCTTTCTCTTAAACGTTAAAATGTTCTTATACAAAGTCGGCATATCCAAGTGGTCGATTGTGGTGTAAAACTGACAGGCGTTGGTGAATTTAAGCTTGTGCCAGATGTACTTCCTGGCAGCGTTCCGAGCCAATTCCAGCAACAAAGGCACTCTCGGCAATTTGCTTAAAATTGCGTTCATTTGTACGTCATCGCTATAATTGATTGTTAGAGCGTCCATTAACCGAGGACAAATAGAATACTCTAACAATTTCATAACATTTTTCTTAGAAATATCATTTACTTCTTCGACAGCATTCTCTAAATTATAGTCTACGTCAAGTATAAATCTAGAAACGGCCATCCCACGCTGCCAATGACAAGTAAAGTCGTTGTCCATATACAACAGTATTCTGAACAACTCGCAGTACCCGTAGCGAGAGAAAATGGCATGCAAGTCGTAGTTAGTGGGGCGAAACCCACATTGCAGCAAACGGCACGTAAGACACGTCAGCTGCTCAAGTTCGAATTCTTTCTCTGCGAATTTATCGACGAACAACAAATAATTTTCCCCTTTGGAGAAAAATGTCAAGGCAGGTTCGAAATTATCACCTTCGATTATAACTTGGAGAAACTTCGGCACCTCCCAGATATAGTCGAGCAAATCAATCGTATTCGTGGTGACGCTGTCACGGAGTCTTTCCCATACCGATTTAAAAGACAAGCCCACAGGACGACGAGGACCGTACATCTGCCAGATGTGTTCCTCTAAGATGTCTTCCTCAAAGATGTCTTCCTCTAAGATGTCTTCCTCTAAGATGTCTTCCTCTATGCCGCGCTCTATTTCCTCAATCTCCATCGACATAGATTCAAATGCAAATTTCAGAGTCGACGAACCAAACGACCAAAGGGAATCATAGGCGGCCCTGTCGAAGTCGTCCACGTACTCCAGCAACGCCTCCAGGGCACTAACATTACGATGCCGGAAGGCTTCCATGAAAGGGGTAACGCCGTCATGGTCAGGAACGTTGACATCGGCATTGTAATACAGCAGCATGTGAACTATTTCCAGGGATCCGTGGTCCATCAGTTTGTGTAGCAACGTTTTATTATATCTGTTAACGGCATCGACTCGAGCACCGTGTCGTATAAGGAGGTGGCAGATGTCCGAACAGCACGCCGACATGTGCAAAGGGGAACAACTTTCGTAGTCGGAGAGATTAACATCGCACCCGGCTCGAATTAGTTTCTCCACCGATTGGATATGACCCAACGCGGTCGCTACGAAAAGAGGCGTTCTGCCTTCAGAGCACCTGGCATCCACTTCTATGCCTTCCCTGGACAGCAAGTAATCTAATATTTCCAGTCTGGAAAAGTATATGTAGGATGAAAACTTTACTATAGTGTAAAATGCCTTCACAGAACTTTTCCTACCAAGTTATTTTTGAGGGTGCACGACACGAATTTCAAATTATTTTCTGTGCGGTCCAACCTAGTTTCCGAAAAAAAATATTCAGAATTCTAACCTAGACATTTGATACAATACTAGAGTCAGCACTGCTTACAACACTCCACTTTACACAGCTTTCAGAATATCTAATGAAAGATAAACATTGTGTGGAAAACATATTTTCATAAATCAAGTAAAAAAATATGTATATATATAACGAGCGTTCAAATAAAAACGTGGTCGAAGTGACGTGGCTCTGACACATTGGACGTAGGGAGTAGCTTATAGCGACCAACTTAACCTCATTTCTCAACGAGCTGTATAGCAGCTGTCAGTTTCAATAACGTTAATGACTATATAACTTTATTTTAAAGAATAATCGTGATAACAATAACAAACAATTAAAGGAGCTGCGGAAAGTGTCCCCCTCCTTGTTATAACAATAAATTAAAGCAGCTGCTGAAAGTGTCCCCCTCCTTGTTCCAAGCACTTTT